GTTGCTCTCGCTATCGTCATTGAGAGACATATGACAACAAAACGAACCTCACGCAACCAAAATATGCAGGCAAAACTATATCTACTGCGTCAATCAATCGGCGTGTCTCGCCCCCTTTTAAACTCAAATCCGATGCCTGCGCTCAGCCATGCCGTCATCTCTGAAAACAACAAGTGAACCTCGAGCTGATAAAATCAACTATTCTCTTGTCGTTAGACCAGGCGAATTCCAGTGCCTTTAGCACTCTGCTCAGGGATAGATATCAGGGGTATACCCTGCGGTATTCCCGCGTCCCCTGAATCTGCATATACCCCAGAGGGGAGAACGCTGCGGTCCCCGTCAGAGGATCGTGACGTGGTGTGGGTGAAACAGCTCTGACACGTCCCGTGACTTCCTCGATCACCTGAGTAGGTGGCGACTTCATGTCTTTCACCTCCAAAGCCAGGGGATAACTCATTGGCACTTCGCCCATCCTTGCCGGGCTATACCCTGCAAATCGCACCGTCTGCAGCGTCGGTGGTGCTGGAATTGCAGGCCTTGGCGGTGGGATACTTGGGCCAGGTCCAGCTGGTGTCATAGCTGGCGTCATAGGTGCCATTGGCGGGTCATACGCCGGGGGTACTTCTGCCGGTGGCGTTCCCCTGATTTCTGCCGGTGGCGTTCCTCTTTCGATTCTCTCTGCCACCAGCTTCAGGTTTTCCTGGAGCTTATCCATGGACTCCTGGAGTTGAGACATGATGTCTTGTAACGATTGGTCCCTCTCTAAGCGACCTTTCTTGTTGTCTCTGAGCGTGTCCTTCATCGAGACGTCAAGCGACCACTCAACATGCTTCTTGAGCTTGGTAAGTTCACCTACCATTGCACCAACCCTGCTGGTGTTGTGATTCACCCCCGCAGCAAGGGACTCAGATGCACGAGCCATGTTGGTGACGGCTTCTCCAACGGCTTCCAGGGATCTGCAAAGGTCAGACTGCAGAGTATGGGTACTCTTAATCAGGATCTCAAGTTTGTCCGTAGACCCTTTCAGCGCAGCGACCATGGACGTGATTCCCACAGCCAAGCCTGTGGTAGAACTCAACAAGTCGGCTGCCTCATTGGGGTCAAAGGACTCCTGATGCCTTCTCAACCTCGGAGATCTCGATCTATCATCATCTCTTCCAGCATCTCCTTCTTCCTTCTCTTCCTTCTCTTCTCCATCCACATGGATAGTATCCTGTTCTTTCTCTTTCTCAGAATCCGTCTCAGTCACTCCTGTCTGCGCCGGTAGCGCTGGCGCCGGTAGCGCTGGATTCTCAGACACAGGAAACTCTACACCCTCTGTCGATGGAGCTGCTGGGGCTGCTGGAGCTGCGGAAGCTGCCACGTTCGCTGCCATGAATTGCTCGAGTCTCCTAGACAAGGCCTGATGCACCCGCTGGGATAAGCCGGGGCCCAAATACAGCTTGGGCATAATCTGCAATTCAACTTGACAATCCCTCTAATGACCATGCAGACCACAGCTCAGCCATTTCATGCCATGCCAAGCACAAACTCTCTCTTATTCATCCTAAGGTGCGTGACTCACACCTTAACAGATGAATTACACTTCCGACAAAGATCACATTCAATACTACCCCAAGATGCGTGCCGCACATCTTGACAGGTAATATGTGATCGACCAAACTTCAATGTCTCAGACCAAGAAAATAATGCAAACTTGTGGCAAACCGCAAAATCAATCCAAATCCAACTGCCAATGCATGCACAAATCTTCACAAAACTGTAAAACAGATCACAGTGGTTTCCACGCGTATGAAACCCATAGACATGTCATGCAGCAAAATGAAAACTCATGCAAAACTCGTGACAGCTGACAGAAAACCACTCAAACTGAGTTCCACAAGTCCAAGTTCTGTCCAGTCGGAAATCGTCCAAAACTCTGAAACTCCAAGACATCCCAAAATTGTCATTTCACCCCAATCTCAGCTTGACAGCTCTTTCACCACAGCTTTTGCATTTCTCCTCGCAGCTATCGTCGGCTTCCAAGCCTAGCACTACCACCCGACCTGGAACCATTACAAAAAAAACTTATACATTGAGAGGATATTTCCTCTGTACTCAGATGATCTGGTGAGCCTCCGTGGAAAACTTGTATAACTTGTCTTCCGTTGTGGGGACCCCAGAAGTCATCTACAGGGGGAGGGGTGAGCACCGAAGGTGGTAAGTGTGTGCATGTGTGTGTGCAAGGTGTGTGTGTGTAACTGCAATTGCCGAAGTTCCAAACCAAACGAACCCTGAAACGTAAACTCAAATGAATATCTCCAAACTCAAACGACATCAATGAAATGAAAGCTGCTGCAACTGAAAATGTGGACATCACTGAAATGGTCTCAGAAGGATCGCTCAGCGCATGTTCTTTTTGACCGGGGGTTGTGGACATCCTGCCGTATGAGTCTGTGCTGCTGCCAGCACTGCAAAGCTTCACCAAAGTCTCAAGCCAGTGTTTCTTGTAAACCAAATTGCATTTCAACCATTGCATATTCACCAGCTAAGAAGGTTCAACGCATCAAGCATCTGTCTGAGTCTGCCCCTCAATGGGAGACTGTTGTATTTCCAATCCAACCAAAGTCATGTCATCGATGACATCGTGAATTTCGACTGCGATGGCGAAGCAGCAAACGCGTAGGATGCAAACGTCACCAATGGTCAGAAAGGTCACAAAGCTAATGCTCTGTTGTACACCCAGACCGAAAATGGTACGGGTCAGTGGTAGATCGAAAAGCTGCTCATATCGATCCAGTTGTTCCGCAGTGTAAACTTCGATTCGGTTGTCACGTAAAGACTGCATTCCCCCCCAAGGTGAGGGAGGGTGGGTAGCAGAAAATTTGTTTGAGCCTGATCTCCCACATCGAGACGATTCTCATTCCATGTTCCTTTCAAGTACGTGCATTTGAAAAGGAGTCAAACTGAAAACTGCAACCCAGGTAAGTTTCATCCAAGGTACGACATGTCTCATCTGAAATGAAATAAGACAGCACTTCAAAACGAGTTGATGAATCCTCAGAAGTTGTCTTCCAAATAAACAGTGCAAATAAGCCGAGGCCCGGTAAACGAAACTGCCGAAATAGAAACCTGTTTGTTTGTTCAAGGTTGTGCAAGTTGAAAGTGCAGGTTGTAGAGACATCCCAAACCAGAACCCTGCAAACACCCGGCACACACACACACACTAGCACAGCAAACCCCCACCCCTGCAGACAAACAACTGAGGCGAGCCCAAGTAGCTTGTCTTCCGTTGTGGGGACCCCAGAAGTCATCTACAGGGGGAGGGGTGAGCACCGAAGGTGGTAAGTGTGTGCATGTGTGTGCAAGGTGTGTGTGTGTGTGTAACTGCAATTGCCGAAGTTCCAAACCAAACGAACCCTGAAACGTAAACTCAAATGAATATCTCCAAACTCAAACGACATCAATGAAATGAAAGCTGCTGCAACTGAAAATGTGGACATCACTGAAATGGTCTCAGAAGGATCGCTCAGCGCATGTTCTTTTTGACCGGGGGTTGTGGACATCCTGCCGTATGAGTCTGTGCTGCTGCCAGCACTGCAAAGCTTCACCAAAGTCTCAAGCCAGTGTTTCTTGTAAACCAAATTGCATTTCAACCATTGCATATTCACCAGCTAAGAAGGTTCAACGCATCAAGCATCTGTCTGAGTCTGCCCCTCCTTTAGAGACAGGATGCCCGTTACCATACAGTTTTGTTTGCCATCTTTTGTCTTTTTGTCTGCCTGCCTTCAACCAGTCTCAAACCAACCTGGCCATCTCTCGCTTCAACAAACTCATCTCTCGCCGAACAAAGCTCCTTCAGCAGTTCCAGAGGAAGGTCTCCCAAGGTGATGGGAATACGGTTATCCGACTCAAATAAACTGAAGTCTTGATTGGTGAGGGAGTCGGCAGGAACATTCTGCTCCCTTGGTCTCCAGCGCAATTTCATCCTTGTTCCGCATGAAAGCAACTCCGCCGAAACTTGCATGTGAACCGCTAACAACGGCCATTTCGTTGACATGTTCTTGTTCTGCAAGGACTGATTAGACTTGTTGTCAGTCCCGCCAGTGATCGCCAGTTTCAGATTCTTCACCCGTTTCTCTCCCTTCAAATAGCCGAAAGCGCACGCAGCTGCGTACGATGCCATGAGTTCTGCCGCAGTAGAGCACCACTGCGACGAGCCATCTTCTTTGAAGAACATGGGAAGATCCGTAGGGTATACCTCCAAGCAAAACCATGATGATCTCTTCAAGTCTTCCACTCCAGCTTCCAGAGACCATCCAGCTAGGACAATCCGTCCGTCCTCGCACTTCGCATCCGTACGGAATGCCTCACTGGGAGACTGCCAAGGTGCCAGCACATTCACCCAGTGTCCATGGTGTTGTATCTGCCGCCGCAAAAATCTCAAAGAAATAAAGACCAAGGTGGGAACCCTTGTGACGGTTCCCCGTGCAAGCACCGATGTCCAAGCAAAGAGTGGAGCCAGAAATGGTTTGATCCAAGTGACCACCCTCGCAACAAATGACAACCTTCCAGTGAACTCTATAAATGATCTCCCTTGCACCATCCATCCGTTCCTTTCTGCATCATCGATCCACTTGATGACCCATTCTGCTCTCTTCTTTGAAATGCCTGCCACTTGTCGGTCATATTCCATCTGGTAACCAACGTACTCCACATTGAGGCCACCTCTGAATTTGTGGTACGCAAATGGTGTGCCCATGATCTCATATGCCAGTATGCTCAGCCAGAGTGCTACAAATTTCTGTGGGCCCAGGCAAAGCAAGTGCACGTCGTCGACGTATGCCAGCTGCATCGTCTGTCTCCTATCCAAAATCCTTAGGACCCATCGTCCCACGCAAGCAAATAATCTAGTCCACCAGTATGCTGCGCTTGAAACTCCAAAGGTGCCAACACAATTCAGCCACAATGTTCGTGAATCTGATTTTGAGCGACATGCTAACCGTGCCCAGTCAGCCTTACGTATGAGCACGCATCGATGCGCCTGGCTTATATCTGCTGAAAGACAGAAGGCAGCTTCACGGGACTCTGCTGCAAGGGCCACCAACTCTATGATCTCCTCTGGTCCTGGAACTTCCAGGCGGTCAAGTATTTTGATCTTGTTGTTGAGCCCAATGCCGTGTGTGCCATCATGCAAGGGGCGCACACTACCATCTGGTTTCTGTATTGCTCCCATTGCTGCAATGAGTACTGCTTCTTCACCGTACTCCATCTTGGCCTCCGCTAGAGTCGTGGGAAGCATCCTCCCCAGCAATTCGTCCTTTCTGAAGTGCGCCTCCAACTCTTCCGAAGAAAGCTCTGCCGTAGCATAGTTTTTCATGTCCGGTTGAAAGTCAGTGATGTCCAGCTGCCTAAACTTCTCTCTGCGCCTGAACACCTGGGGAGTTCTTGGAAGCTCGGTCTCCACACCAAGCGGCACTCCCTTTGCAAAACATTCTTCACCTTGGACCAGTATCTCCCAATCGGGATCATCCAGCTCCCTCAAAGATTCTGCAAGCAAATAAAGAAAGAAAGGTTGCCGCGGTGGCTGCACAAGTAAAGCATCTTCATCTCCCGGTCTGAGCAAGGTGGCTATCTTCTTTCTCAATGTCTGCAACTGTTCCGGACCAAAAGGGGATTGCTGCTTTGCCCAAGTGCCAAGCGAAATGCTTCCTTCCGCAAGTCCCCAATCTCCTTCACCAAAAAATCGTGAAGGATCTCTACAACTTGCTCAGCATGCTTTGTTGCTGAACCTTTAGCCAGATAATTGCGAGCCCCTGGCAACCACCTGCCCGGTGAGCACAATCCAAAGCCATCAGTGAACTCTTTCTTGCAACTTTCGTATCTGCAAATGATGGGCTGTCCAAAACAAGAAGAGGTTGTACTGTCAAACACCATATCCTCTTGCATCTGCCCACTTCCAGCTATCTGATCTTCACCTGATGATATCCAAATCTCTCCATGGGGCTTGTTGCCTTCGTTCTCAGTTTCCCCATTGGCTGGCTCACTGAATCCAGTCGGTCCAGACACAGGCCCCTTGCCCCTGTGGAGCGCAGTTGAAGAGGTCGTTGATGTGGTGTCCTGGATGACCGTTGAAGGGTTGGTGGAAGTGGTGGCAGGTGTCTTGGCTGTTGGAAGTGCAGTGGTTGTAGGTGTATCTGTAGTAGGCGCTGTTGCAGTGTCATGTACCCCCTGCGCAGCCATGCACTGTGGGAGCGCTGAGATTATGTCCAAAGCTATTGATTTGCACATTTCTTCAGGATATGCCGCTGAATCAGCTGTGTTCCACTTCTGCAATTCCACATTAAATCCCAGAAGTGGTGGGTGCGAGATGTGGGGACATTTCCCCAATGGTCCTGTGTAAAAGCCAGCTTCATCAAAAGTCGCCCAGTTCACACCATGTTGCAAACAATTTGGTAAATTTGAAATCAACCTGGTCGGTTTGGAGGTGGGAGCCCCAAAGATGCATTGATGTATGGCCCAGGAAGCGGCCTGTGTCGCCTGCACCAACTGTCGCAAAGCCTGCAACTGCCAGATTGACGCAGGGTAATCTCCTGCCCTTGTCTTTCCCAAATCCTCAGGGTGTTCCCACCAGTAAAACCGTCCTTGCGCATGCATTCGCTTTGCAGCTTCCAAACATTGAAAAATAAAGAAATTTGCAGTTTGCACCGTTTCTTGATCTGTCATGCGTAACCAAGGGAAGCCCAACGGCCAAGTAGCTGACCGTAGTGGTCTTGGACCTCCTTGTCGAAAGTGGTGCCTTGCCCTGCTGAATGTATTGCATGGTGGTGAAACCAACAAAACGTCCACAAGCCCTTGATCAATGTCCTTGAATAGATCATCCCACAGTTCTGTCTTTGACAAGTCATGGGAATGGTGAAGCTCAATATCGAGCTCTTTAAGCTCCAAGTGAAACATGCCATGTGCCAATAGTTGCAGCTGCTGTCTGATGTCTCAGCTGCTGTCTGATGTCTCCGCGCCTTGATGCGCCTGCAAACAAGTAGACCACCCGCAACGTCGGCAAATCTGTTGCCGTTTGTCAGTTCTTGTTGGGGGGTGCACTCTCAGCCCCTTGGGTCATGCCTTGGTAATGTTGCCACATTGGATGCGGTTTGCCACATCCCCGCACCCTACGAACATGAACTCTGCCGCAGCCGCCTTTGCAGCCTTGTGCATTGTATGCAAAACAAATCTGTCGATTGTCATCTGTAAAGGAAACCATAGAGTGCTCAGATCCACCTTTGCCTCCTTGACGTTGTTTCGACTTGCCTTTGCCACCTTTCTTGCCAGTTCCTTTGTGCCACTTATTCGGTGGCCCATTGCCTCCAGGAAACTCAGGTCGGCGCCAGTTGCGATTGTTGTTCGAAGAGGCATCTTCTGCCCGTCCGGATTTTCCTTGCAAGGCAATCGGACTGGTGAAATACTGTTCTTTCAGTTGAGCATCAGCGCACACCTCTTCCAAGCACTCACGTAGGGGCCTACTCTTTCTGAAAGCCCTCTTGACAGCTTCCTTTCTCAACTCAAACTCATAAGATAACATCACATTCCAAGGAGGACGCAATGACACCATCTCTGAGCTCCCTGCTGATGAGGCTGGCCCTGGAATTTTCATAAGATAACACTTGTCACCTAACAAGAAATTTGTATATTTCAGCCAGTCGTCGGGTGTCAGGCCATGTAACATTGGATTGTTACGATACTTTGCAGCAAGATAACACCACGTGTTGCCCTCGACGCGCAAGATCGTGCGCAGCTCCTCAGTGCCTTGCGGCAATTGGCCCTTCTGCCTGGACTTCACAATGCGAACATGACCTGAACTATCCACGGATGTCTGAATGCCCATGGTTTTGGCTGTCTTCTTGCTAGTGACCTCATTCAAATAAGACGCCACTGGCTCATGAGCTTCCAATTCCTCAATCTTTGAAGAAAGATAGTCATCTGAAGGCTCGTACGTCTCTTCGATCTCTCCATGTGTTGCAATGTAAGCTGCCCGCATGGCTGCCCTATCCGTCTGAGTCACCGGCCTTGCAACCCCTAGGAACCTGGCTTCTGCTTTGAGTTCTGCCTGCTTAGCTGCATACTCTCGGGAGGCTTCCCAAGCAGCTACAACTCCAGCCACTGCAGCTCTATTCTGCAAACTGTTTTCCTGGACCTGCAAATCCTCTCTCAAAGCTTGCCTCACTCCCTGTCGGGTGTCTGCAATGGCACTGAAGCGCCTGAGCTGGCCAAACACCTGGGTGAGATTGTACTGCAAGGCTAATGGCACACCGTTCTCTTGTAAGATGTATGCCAAATCAGCTTCCACTCTGTCGTGCAAGAAGGCACGCATATCATTCTCTGTAACACCTGCTGGTGCGTTCATGGCCCTCTGCTTCCCTAAGGGGCTAGTGAGCCGTGGTTGCTTCGGGAATCTCTCACTTCTTCCCGTGCCATAGTGGCAAACCTATTAAAACCACGACACACGCAGAAATAGTACTGAGATTTCTCAATGAGAACGGTGTCAACAACACCTTGTCCTGGTCTTTTCTCCAGGTCTCCAATACTGAAACAATCAACATGATCAAACCTGCACCTGCCTGCATCAAGAAGGTTACATGCAAGACATGAAAAGAAGCTCAAAGAAGTTCGACTCGAAACTCATGGCACTCAAAGACAACTCCACTCACTCACATGCGATCAATCCAAATCTGAACCTGACCTTCGGCCTCAATGCCTCTTGCGTTACTCGACTCAAATGAAATCTCAATGAAATGCAGCGCAAACCCTCAATCTATGTTCAACACTAACATGCCAGAAATGTAAGAATCAGAGAGACTGCACAGCCCACAGCAATCAATTTTCCGTGAAACGCACAACGCAAGATCATCCCTAAGGGAGGTCTAAGGTGGAAACCTTCAACTGCTGGAGCTCGAACTGCTGGAGCTATCTGGTCCCTGTTGTCCCTCTGTCAGTTTGGGTTTGCACAGTTTGCAAACAGCGTCAGCAACATCACCACTCAATGAGTAAACTGGTTGTGTCACCAAGCAGCGCTCCTGACGTACTGCACACGATTTTGAAACATGGAGACGTCGGAAATGCGTCTTTCTGCAAATCGTGATAAAGTATGGTGCCTCTGGCAAAACATCTGGATCCTGGGGCTCAAACGACTCGGTTTCAGGTGCAACCTCCATGGGCGCCGCAACTGGACCCGTGTCAAGCAAGGGAAACTCACCACCTAAATGCCAAGCACTTCCAGCAAGTGTCCAAACCAAAACAGCATGTTTTCTGGCCGTTGTCAGTGGACCAGCATTTACCTTGACTGCAAATGACTTGATACGTTCCATCAACTCCTCTTCGACAAGTCCTGGTTGCGGAAGGCCCTCCAGGATGAACTTACAAACAGCTCGCTGTATGCGGTGCACAACTTGCCTAGAAGTCAAAACATAATCCTGTGAACCATGTTTCGCATAACTCCATCTGCCTAAGTAGTCACGGTCCTCTTTACCGACACCTGCTGCAGCTGCCCAAGACGGCAAGGTGTGTCTGGCACTGTGACCGGTCCAGAAAGAACCCATTTCCGGTGAAATCAACATGGTTCCCTGAATGAGGCTCAGACCGCTGATCTTGCGCCCCACCGCGGGGAGTGTCAACAGCAGCTTCCTTAACATCGTAGCTAAGCCCTCAGGTTCCAGGAAACTGCGTTCAGGTTTGTCCCATTCATGTGCAAAACCAATCGCAAAGAAATCCCTAGGAAAATTCAACTCTTCCTCTTCCAGTAGCTCCATGCCTAAACGCAACCAATCAACACCTGACAAACTGATATCTCTCGCAATGAAACCTTGAAGTTCACCTACAGGCTTTCCAGGACCGCTAGTCTTAGTTCTGCGCAGCACAAAACGTAGTCCCAACTGAGACAACTCCAAAGAAGCTGGATCCACATTCTGTAAATCATCACAACGCATTGTACCCCAAAGGAGCAAGAGCAGTACAAAGGAATAAAATCTCTGTCCAAGTGGAGCCGCTTCATTTGCAAGCGTCAGTTCTGAACTCACAGCGATTGCAACTGTATACAGGTCCGCCTGTCGCCTTGGCGGTGCATCTCTACTCAACTCAGCAGTCCAAGACTTCACTGATTCCAGCCATAGCTGATCCTCTGAAATACGAGCCTCTGACGGGACTTGTCCAACCAGTTCCAATAATGCCAACGTTGAATGTATTGACATCGGTACAGTTTTGCCCATGGGTTGGACTTCATTCCGCTCTTCCAAATATTGCAAAAGGATAGCCACTCCCGATGGCCAAGGTGTCCCTGTTGTAATAATCAGCCAATCACGCAGCTTCTTCCAGGCCCTAGCTCTATTGCGCAACGTCTTTGAACGGCGAGAACCAAATGCCCTCACCCAAGCAGCATTTGCATTGGGCAATCCAGTGAATGCCGCAACTGCTGGAAGCTTGGCCTCCACTATTATCTCAGCCAAATGCAGGGCCCATTTCTTCTTCGATCTGTCCTCCTCATCTGCTCTGGCTGTGTTGCCAGTCTTTGCACGCTTCGCCAGCTGACCCTCCAGTGAAGCCAAACCCAGCATGGGGCTACTTGCAACTATGCCATCGTAACTATCAGATATGCTATTTATATGACTGGAGTGCTCTGCAAGCTTCCCATGGGATACACGTTCCTGCATGCCCTCTCGACGCATGAACTCAAGCCGACCACCTGAGGTATCCTTCCAATCCAAAAGTGCTCTTGCAATTGCATCTCTCCTCGCAGCACCGTAGCTATTGCCCAGTGCATCATCCACTAGTCCCTGTGCGGCTTCCAGTTCATCAAAAGCTGCAGAAACATGCAAAGGTGAGCTGAAAACACCACGCAAAGCTTTGCAAAGTGAACTATCTGCGCCCCTGGTCCCTAGCCTACATCTAGCAGAAAATTTGTTTGAGCCTGATCTCCCACATCGAGACGATTCTCATTCCATGTTCCTTTCAAGTACGTGCATTTGAAAAGGAGTCAAACTGAAAACTGCAACCCAGGTAAGTTTCATCCAAGGTACGACATGTCTCATCTGAAATGAAATAAGACAGCACTTCAAAACGAGTTGATGAATCCTCAGAAGTTGTCTTCCAAATAAACAGTGCAAATAAGCCGAGGCCCGGTAAACGGAACTGCCGAAATAGAAACCTGTTTGTTTGTTCAAGGTTGTGCAAGTTGAAAGTGCAGGTTGTAGAGACATCCCAAACCAGAACCCTGCAAACAGCCGGCACACACACACACTAGCACAGCAAACCCCCACCCCTGCAGACAAACAACTGAGGCGAGCCCAAGTAGCAAGTTTCCGTACTGGTCAAACTCTACGGATTTCATCGTCCCCTGCCAACGGTATTCGTTGGGCTTATATTTCAAGAGAACTCCCGCCTCGGCTTTCTGGAGATAGCCAATGGCGGTCACCTCGACCTCGACCAGAACATAGTCTTTGGCACAAAACTCACCCTTGGGACCTTCCGGTGTCCAGTCATTGAAGTACTGAGCACGCTCGACGGCAGCAACCGGGTCTTTTCGTAGCCCAAACCTCTTGGAATATTCGTCAGGCTGAATCTCCTTCCCATTGTTCAAGTCCTCAAACTGCTTAGGAGTCAACGCCAACCAAAGACGAATGGATTCCATTGCCGTTGATGCCATGGTATCTCAAAGCTATTGCGAGGGCAGCTGAAATGCAAAAACACTGAGCCAAAGTTGTCTTATAGTAAAACAGCAACGGTGGAATGAAACCTACACAAACATGAGAAGTCCAGACAAAATGTCACGTCAAGTCCAGTATAATAGACAGCTCCATACTTCGTCTCTCACTTAGACAGTATGTCGAGCTACAAACTGACAGCACGTTTACATTCATTTCAGTCAGTCTCACGTTTCGGAACCTATGCAAGTCGTAATCGCCCCTGCCGTCCAGTTCCCTTTGTTTCTTTCTCTTCTACTTAAATCTGTTCTCTGAGCCTATGCACGTCTGCAATCTAGCTCACGTGTGAACCTTGCAACCTCTTGCAATCTGGTCCACGTTTTGACTTTCTACAACTTTTCTTTTCTTTTCGGAACCTATGCAAGTCGTAATCGCCCCTGCCGTCCAGTTCCCTATGGACCTATGCAGCGCCTCTGCCATCCAGCCCATTTCTTTTCTTTTCTGTTGTAAGTCAAAACTCTTCAACTCAAAAGAAAATTGCAAATCTCAAATCCCAGATTCCCTCTCTTGCTTTTCACTCTGAGCAACACGCAAACACACAAACTACACTACCGCTCTACTTCCTCTCAGGATCCTCTGCAAAGCTCCAGTGCTGTAGATCTCGTGAAACTCCATGCCAGCCTTCTGGTAGTACAAGATGTCCACTCAAGATGACCCAGGTTCGCAAAGGAAACCTTCCGGAGTCGACCAACATCACAAGCATCTTGCTCTCAAACTACATCTCTACCAAAAGAAATGCCACAACCATCGTAGGCAAACCACACTGGCAATCATTGCTATAAAGACCATAGAGCTCGTCTCACAGCCAAACTTGGCTTGCAGAAACCTCCGTGCTCGTCCATCCATCTAGAGAGGTACGGTATGATTGCTCTAAGCCAAAAGGGAATACTTGCATTCAAGTTGTCTTCACACAAAGTCCAGTCAGTCTGACAACAACTCAAGAGTACCTACCTGTCTCAGGATTCAATGTACCTTTTCCGCATCTGTACCAGGTTTCACAAGCAACTGCAACTATCTAAAGAACGTAAGTCATACCTGACCTGCCTGCGACACTGCAAAACTGTTCAAATTCCGGTCAAAGAAAACCATGAAAACAAACTCACAACAAAGTTTCCTGTTTCGTTTCAAAATACAGTTCAAAACAGTTTCCACTTCCCACACAGTTCAGGTCGTTTCCAATGACTCACCGCATGTCCCAATCAAACGCACTCACAACTGCAGTTCAAACCTAGGATGTTGGTTACCTGATGCATCTGACAAATCAAACCAACTTTCCCAAACAGGCAAACACAACTCACTCCGTTGTCAACTCACAATCTCAACACCAAGTTCCACTGTGCCTCCAGTGCCATGACGGTTCCTATCTCTCTCTCTCAGCACTCTAGTACCTACACTGCCAGGCAAACAACAATGCTTCAGGCTCCAGTCTCAAGGTTACCAGTCAGTGCAAACATCCGTCAAGCTCCACTGCTCCTGCACACTACTGAACCTCAGGTGTTCAATTATTCACGCATTACATTACAAATGTGGCAACTAAACCAAGGTCACTGACCTGACAAAGCAAACTCGACCCTCCGTGGTTCTCATGCCAACGTTTTTCCAATCTATGGCAACTAAACCAGGTCACCGACCTTTCCGGGTTCTCATGCCAATCTTTCTTAACTCTGTGGCAACTAAACCAGGTCACCGACCATTCCGGGTTCTCATGCCAAACTTTCTCAACTCTGTGGCAACTAAACCAAGGCTACTGACCCTCCGTGGTTCTCATGCCAAACTTTCTCAACTCTGTGGCAACTAAACCAAGGCCAACAACCCTCCGTGGTTCTCATGCCGAACTTTCTCTCTTCAACTGTCATCTCCAGGCATGACGCCAGGCTCAGTAGCACCACGCACTGTGCACTCCGTGCGTCCTGAATCATCTACGACCTGACCAACCTGTCGAGATGTTACTCTTTCTTACTTTCAATATGGACCTATGCAGCACCCTGCCGTACAGCCCACTTTCCTTTTAACTCTTTCCAATGCTCTCTAGTGATTCTCCAGGCACTCTCTCTCACTCTCTGCCAAAATCACCAAGCTTCCTAGTTTCCTAGTGACTCTCCAGGCTCTCTCTCTTTCTTGCCAAAGTCACAAAACCTCTTACACAACCAAATCACAAGTCTCACATGCAACGCAACTGCAACATACTCTCACATGCAGCTCCGGCGTTGTCACCTATTTTCCACGCTTACCACTACTGCCAGGAACCCTATCGACCACATATCTGTCAAATCTATCACACAGCAATGGGTCACAGGTATTTCAACCCTGCAATGACCTCTGATATCTGCCTAAGATATGCTCACGCAGCTGAAGAATCTGCCTTCGCATCTCGATCTCCAATTCCGAGAGATGATCGCGGAACATTGTCATGATGTCTCGTTGGTTCGCACTCAAACCAATATCCTCAAGCAAAGGTAGAAGCCATTCCATGAGAACAAGCATAGTCTGTACTATCCGAAAGATACTCGACACCTTCTCCAATCCAACAATCCACTCAATGTACCGTTCCTCCATTGCTTCACGTAACGGTCGGTTGTCGCGATTGTCCATTCCTGGTATAGACTACGTGGCGATACTCTCCTTGAGCTTAAACGCTACAATTCCACTCACACTCCAGTGGTTTTTCAACTCTTACTTTCAAAGACTTCTACGCCAGTTGTCGGAGTCTCTACCGTCCAAACACCTCACTTGTGTCTCCGGGACTTACTCCCAACCTCAGCCTATCGCGATACTCTCAATGTTCATCTCCAGGCAGGTTGTCGGAGCCTTCACTGTCCAAACACCTCACTTGTGTCTCCGGGACTTACTCCCAACCTCAGCCTGTCGAGATACTCCAAGCATTCCAAAAACATGTCATCTCCGGCAACCACTTGACAAGTCACTTTCAACCAATGACCTCACAGTCAACATGCCGCAAAGTGAAACAAAAACACATCATCTCAATTAAGAATACTCAACCTCTTCGATGCCCTTGACTTTACATCAGCAATGTACCAACCTAGTGATCACTTCAAAACCTTAGCACAAGCTCAACACAGATCTCGCGAAAACCTAGGAGCTCAATACAAACGATCTCAGCTTCACCTTAGATGGTGTCCTTAGTACACTGCAACAAGGGTCAGCGGAGAATGGTGCGGGTAGCTCCGTAGAGCTCCGCTACCATGTAGAAAAAGCGCCGTGCACAGATCCACGGTCAGATCCAACGCTTCTTCCAAAATTCCTACAGAACTACGCGGGCGGACGCGTACGTCAACCACGCACACCAAACACAAGCGCAGCGCGTAAGTCCCTAAACTAATTAAACTAAGGCAATACCGTGTCAAAAATGAATGTTTCTCCCTCGACTCCCACATGCTGACGTCAAGCTCCTTCTTTTCGCCCCAGACGCAACACGATCAGTCAAAGAGAAACACAAACACACGAGAAACAAAAGAACAAACAAACAAAACACAAGAAAACGGAGAAGTTCCCTCTGTCGGTCTGTCTTATGTCAAGTTATGTGACACAGCAGCTTCTGTTCATTAAATGAACTTCTGACACCAGTCCTTCGAGCCGATGTCTCAACTGGTAAACTCGATTCCAGGTTTCCAGTTAACAAACCTCAAGTTCTTCAAATAAAGGTTTGTTGAAACTATTCCAGCTGCTAGAAGTCTACAAAACTCAATTTCACTAGATGAATTCAAAATCATCGAAACACTTCCAAAAGTTCTCAAAACAAACTGGTTCTCGTTCAAACGTGAATAACCAGCTCACTAGTCATACGCTGACTAACTTCTCAAGAACGAAGTGATTCACACAAGGTGTCTGTACAC